GCCGTCGTGGGTTAGATTCCCACACGGGAAATTTATTTGTGTGAACCTATTTGTTTCCAGGGGAGAGTTGACGTCAGGTAGGTGAAAACCACTTACAACTGTTAGTTTTACTTTGTTTTATAGAGCTAAGAAGGCAGAAATACAAATACTTTTACCAAATCACCGTAGTTTCACTTTGCAGAACAGTAACACTGGTATAATTACTTATTTTATCACTTTTACACTGAAGAAACAGAACTTTAATGTTTAATCTGTGATACTGATTGGCCAGCACTATCGCGTATACTTCTTGTTGACAGCACAAGAAGAAGACGAAGACGATGAAATGCTTCGTTCAGCTTAATTTATACCTCACAGAATGACACTTCTTTTAGTGTTGCCAACAACCTCAAGGAATGACTTCCTTTAGTGTTGCCAACACAACATGTTTCACCTTGGTGGGATAAGGACAGGGGGGGGGGGGGGGGGGGGGGGGGGGGGATGATGATGATTATGTGCGAGTTTAACATTGTGAGAGTAAAACAAACGAATGTCACACTATTCAGGATAAACATTAAGTCAAGATGAAGCAGACGGACGCCGCTAAAGTTTTTGTCTGTCTGTTTGTTCCGGCTAATCTCTGAAACGGCTGGATCGTAGTTTGCCTTCACCGCTGAGACGCTCCGACGCCGAAGCCAATACATTGGAAACTGCGCCACGGAGTCATCATTCGATAGAATATTTGAATTTGAAAAGTTTTTTAAAACATGAGACAGTTACGGATGAGGACGCGTACCTTTTAAATACATACATATATAGTCCTCCTCATCGATTTCGATGACGGCGACAAATCTAAAGACATTGGCCAGGGTCATCTGCGCGTGAACTTATTTAAAGTGGACAAGCGGTTGCGCGGGTGCAATTCCACTTCGCTCGTCCCTTCCTCTGTGGCCCAATGGACCGGTGAACCGGTGCGACTGGCAAAGGTCGGGATGCAGTGAAAAGACCGCAGGTCACTAAATGGATTCTGACAAGCGCCCTTTAGGTTTTTCACATTACCTAGCACGGTAATGTGAAAAACCTTGAAAATAATGATTTATACCGATATAGACTTTTTTTTAATGGGAATCATCCATTAACTACTCTACAGATGTTCGTAGATGTAGTCCCCTTCTTTAGGTTTAGCCCACTGATGTGGTTGCCCAGGGTGTGGCCGCTGTGTCTACAGCTTCTTGGAGCCACTAAAGAAGAGATTGTGGAGGTTGTCGTAAGGTCAGAACACTCCACTACACCCCAACTTTCTTCCTTTTAAATACAACATGGGCCCTTTATATTTCACGACTCTATTACAATCGAAGACCCGATTGGCGTGGGGATTAGTGACCCTGCCTCTTGCGCCAGAGGGTGTGGATTCGATCCCCACTACGGGAAAAATATTATGTGATGTACATCGTGTTTTTCCAGTATCTGGGTGCTTATATATGTATACTAAGTATTTATTTACAAAAGAAAAGTATGTTTAAGTATTTTTATCATTTTTCTAGTACCCATAGTACAAGCGTTGCTTAGTTCGGGACTAGAGAACGTTGTTAAAAAATGTGACCGAAAATATTTATTGTTTATTTATTGCTGAAAACTGATCAACGTCGAAATTTTAATGATGGCATCTAACTTGTAAATGTTCTTAATAATAAACGTAAATTAATCATACTTAATGTATGTAACATTAAATATGATATTAGAACAACTGAAACAAATATAAAATGTCATTACAAAAATGGCGCACTTCCCTCACACGCGCCAAATGATTTATCGTTTGTACGCGATGTTTGAAATTGTCTGTTGTGTGCTAATGTAAAGAATAATATGCGTGTTTTGATGTTGAACAGTCCCTATGTAAATAAATGGTTGTTTTTTGAGGGAAAATGCAACCAGTTCACAACAGATCTTTAAGGTAAGTTAACGTAACAATAAGATGTTCATTTATCGTAATAAATGTATTTATAATACATAATAACATACATGGCTATTCCTTATTTGAGTAGCAAATTCATGTAATCTTTATCTGTTAAGATATATTTAAAACTAGCTGCTACGTCTGCGTAGAATAGGCTGAAGGTGTAACATTAAGACAGATATACATAAAATATGTATATAAATTATAGCCTATGTATTATCTTGGTGTATAAGCTATATTATTGTAATGTTTCATTAAAATACATTCAGTAGTATTTGCGTGAAAGAGTAACAAACATCCATACATACAAACTTTCGCCTTTATAATATTATTAAGTAAGGATACACATTCATGGGCTTGCCCTGTGTTGCCTGGGAAAAATATTTAGATCTTAAATCAACATCAACTACCTGTAGGGCTTGACCGTGGTCTGCTGGCTTTTAGCTGCAGATGTGCTGGCTTTTATAAAAATTAAGCTACTACTATAAAAACAGACAAAGGTTTTTATTCGTAAAGAGAGAAAATAAATACAACGGCAAAATTTAAATTATTTCCGCACACAATGGAACGCCTTTCTCACTAAGTCCATTTAAATTCTTGCCAAAATTTTCAAAGGCGAACAAACGAACAAAGCCTGGAAGATATAAAACTAAAGCTCAAGTCATATCAATCAAGAGAAAGATGAGAAACTTATAACAGACTAAATGAACATAAAGGAATACTTTCGTATCCGACAAATTTACGTCTCCAAACTAAGTTTTTTAACTGTAATTTTTCTACAAAACGATTCAGGCTTTCTGTTTTATTTAATTTAAACGACTTCGTTAATAATAACTACAATAGCAACACTTAGAAATCATGCTTTTGAACCTTCAGTTAATACTGTCCATATCACATCGATTTTTTTTTAAACTAAAACTTTACATGCACGCGCCACAAAATTGACTTAGAGGATGACTCGGTAAAATGCTTCATCAATGACGACGGCACGTCATAATATGGAATGTTACGAGACTTGCGTTACATTACTTTTTGAGAAGTACCTAATACACTCAACTATATATTAATATAAACGTTATTTTATTGAACTATATTTTGAATTCCTAATATTTGCTGTTCATTTTACACTTTAATATAATCGTAAGTGCATGACTAATATGCAAGCTTGTAACGTTTCGATACAGCATGGAAACAAGTTCCGTGCTGTAGCAGATTCCATCCGCAGAGATCGTGATTCTCGCGTCTTTAACGCCCTCCACGCCGAATGGCTTAGATCACGAACCACCATCGTCAGGCGGGGAAATCAGTTCACGATTTCGCATTATCATATGATCTAACTCAGCTGGTCACCTCATCATCATCATTTCAGCTGGTCACCTCGCCAACGCGAGTCCGCCCATGGACATTTAAAACACACGTAACCTTTTCCTAAATTTCCACCTTTCACTAAATTTTTATTGATTCTCGCCCCCATGGTTTTTTTATTAAAGGGATCAATGACATGGCTATGACATGGCAAAAGTGCATGCGGTTTTTTTTTTATGCGAAATGTTGCCAAACGAGCAGACGGGTCACCTGATGTTAAGTGAACACCGCCGCCCATGGACATCTGCACCCGAAGGTTACAGATGCGTTGACAACCTTTTGAAAATTGGGCTCCGGCTACCTCACTCACCAGACGAAACGCGAAAGTATTTGTCATACTTCCACTTTACGCTGGTCTTCTGTGATGTCGTGGTACTTATCCGGACGGGCCTGCCCGTTCGTACAACAGGCTACTGCGTGGCCCTACCACCGTTAAGGTGCATACTTTGATTAAATAAATATATTTTACAAAAAAAATTGACTTTACAGTCCTTTCGTACAAAACGCCAATTTCATAAGGACCAAAATATAATTTATCTACCAAACACAACTTATCTTCATCATCGTTGCAATGCAATGCACTACGACTAAATAATGAAAATAAATTATAATTATGAAAAGGTCTTAAATAATTAAAACTCGTCGAGGAAAAAGGAAAGAAAAAAGAAATAAAAAATATAGTGGGAAATTGGAGGACGGCAAAGTACGACTACACCGAATTACCGAATTAGAATTTTAACCAAGTCTGAGCGTGAGTGTATTTCGAAATTAGTCAGAATTTTTGCAGCAAAGCAGTCGACGAGAAACAATTATATAGTTATATTTGAGTTTTCGGTGAGAATTTGATACTTGAGATATTTAATCTAAATTGATAAGACGTGGACTAAAAGGTACACGGAAACAAATATTGCTCCAAATTATATTAGAACCTACAAAAATTCGATAAAACGTGGAAATGCGATACTGTATGACTTGTCGCTAATGTACGTCTGTACGAACTTCCTTATAGTAGTGACGTTATAAACACGGTGAACCGAGTTGGCTAAAGCAGGAAGCTAGGTAAAATCGCATTATGCGGCGATCTAATCCCTTAGGAAATAAGGACATAAGAGTTACTTTCGAAGCTAGAATGACATTCACCACACATATTAGAAACGAACGCGCCGCGTTCATTTCGGGCCAGCTCTAATTTAAATAAACCCTCAAATACTACGTATTTAGGGCACCAATTTCCAACTCGACGTGAAGGCGACTGTTTACAAACGTCTGCGAAATGTCCTTATCGACCCTCCCCGAATGTATTATAAGTACATATGCCGGACCTACAGGCAGTGCCGCTAGACACACTATAATCACACATAGTGCTACAATATAATCGCAAAAAGAGTTTATTCTCACCTACGAACATGGCGAAACCAACTCAACGCATACATAAGACGATCCTCACCGAGAGCCTGTAGGTAGTACCGAGTTTTCCGATTATCGGCCCAACCCGACAAAATTGGGAAATTATACTGTTTTAAGTTCGTGTTTTTTTTTTCTTGGGGAAAATCCTTCATTGGATACCGGGGATATACATTTTTTTTTCCTTGGGGAACGCAACCACGGCCCCTCTGATTCACTTAAATCACTACGCCTAGTCATTGGATATCTCCTGGGGATATCCTTTTGGACTATAACAGTCTCATATAAAGAGGCTATGGCGCTCCACTCCCGGTTCCCTGATAGCATCGCAGAAATAACTTCTCTCAGGGAAAGGCTTTGCCAATCTGATTCTCCAGGATCCGTAGAGGGCTGGGAGTTCACCCCACCACAAACATTGCTCTTACGGATAATCACGCGTTCCCCACCGTCGCTGCATCCAGGCTTCGAAACCCCCAAACTTGCTCTTATGACGCGTTTGTGTGCATATTGCTCTTTACAAGCCATTCACACCAAGTCAAAAGAGCGCTTAGCTGTTCCTGCCGCTTAACAGCCTCGATGACACGAATCTGGTTGTAAGCTTTTGCATGGAAATTCGCCAATATGTTCAAAGATGGAAAGCGAGCCAGGACCGTTGTCGCCTCGAATGATATATTATGATGCGATATCCTCGAACGATCCGTATTGCTATCCTTCGCTGGATGTTGTAAATTTTAGTTCTACGGCGTTTAACGGCCACCCTTTGAGCCCAACTGGTGCTCCATACAAAGCAACGGATCGTACGACTCCGGCATATAGGCGGCGTACTTCCTCTCTTGGGCCCCCAAGATTGGGCTGTAGTCTGTGCATGGTACCCACTACCTTTTTGATTAGGGAGACTAAGCGCCAAAGGTGTTCTTCAAAACTCCAGCGACTGTACAGAATAAGGGCAAGGTACTTTATATACCGCCCGACTCTTACTTCAGACCCACTCACGTCGATACACGAGATAGATGGTTCCGTCTTTCGTGACATTTTATGAAACCATAGCGCCTCGATCTTATGAGGTGCTACCTTTAATCCTAACTCGTGTATCTTTTGACATCTTACACCCCAAGCTCCTCTTTGGCCCTCACGAAGCTCGTGGAGAGCCCATGAGGTCTGCGTTCCATGAACCTTTAATAGTTATATTATAGCAAAATCATCAGTTGAAGTTAAAAATAAAAAAAAGCGTCATCAATCATTCATCAGACTTTTAGTAGTTTTACTAATGATTAAACGATAAAAGGATAAAATCCATTATAAAAATACAAACGGTAATACTTAAAGGCAAACCCAGTAACATTTAAAATGCTCTTAAAAGTACTCTCACGGGGAACTTTTTAACATGTGTTACTGTCTAAACACTGTCTAATTATGAAAGCGAAATGTTACGAGCTCTCAGGGGACTAAGTTAAGGATCTGCAAGTCACTTACTTCAACTTAAGTATTCCACTCCAACTACTAAAATTAAACAAACTTAACAATTCTGTGTAAAATTATAGTTTCGGTTTTAAATATCTGCACTAAGATGTTTGACATTGTTTATGGTATTATTTTTTTAATTAAGATTTCCGCCAAGAATCAAGGGAGTTAAATCATCCTGAACTTTATTCGAAAACTTCTAATTCTTTTTTCCTCTTTTTATTTGAAAACTTATAAACTTAGAACTCTCTGTTTTGATTTATTACCTCTGGATAGGATTATGGTGTAGTCGACACAGTGAACGTTTTATGAGTGCAATAATATACGTTTATTAATATTAAATTTTATAATTAACTAATTGCATTATTGTCACTATTACGTCACGGTTACCTAAATATATTCTTATCCTGTAAACGAGCAATTCTTGTATGTATATATATAATCGGAATCTCGGAAACGGCTCCAGCGATTTTCATGAAATTTTGTATGTGCGTAGTTTAGCTAAGTTTGATTTTTAGAAAATGTCCTTTTATCCCTGTTTGCAGGGAATGAAAAATATCATTCGAATATGACAGTAAATTTCGCCGCAAATAAAAATGTTATAATAGCTCGGTAGGTAATCGGGCGGCCCCAAAACAGACGGCCGCGGTTCGTATCACGCTTATTTTTTTTACTTCTTTTTCTATACCAGTTCATTTTCTTTTTTTATTTCTAAAACACATGATTTACCAAAAAAAAGTCCTCCAGGTACTGCTCATTAATGCTTTTTAAGTTTATAGAACACAAATGAGAATAGTTTGGAAGGAGAGGATCCCACCAAATTAGGTTTCCTTATTTAATCATCGTGCTAAAAGTCATTTAACGCTATAAACACTGTTTTACATAATTGCCGTCGTGTATCTCTGGCACGCGACAAAATGTATAAGTCCCACAGTCGGAACGTTTAATTTCCCATTTAAAAAATTACACAGTGCCTTTGCATTTTCGTTGGTCGGCGGAACTTGTTACACTGCCGTTTCCATCGCAAAAAGTGCTCTGTTGCCTATAAAATGGGGGTATTACATTTTACCTATGGAAAGTCTATTTACACGGAAAAATATATTCTGCTCGTTATTCCTGAAAATAAATATTATTACAGAGTAGTTCACGTAGCAGTTTCTGATGTTGCGTGAATGCAAAACCGGTGCATAGAAGTTGGAATTAGACAACCCTAAAACGTTGATGTTATGAGTTTAAATATCAACAACACAAACATTTAGAACATCACGGGTTACCTCACTAGCCAAAGTTGAAAATTACATTTTAAGAGAAACTTAACTAAGAAGGATTCTTCCTTCTTAGTAAATCGACACTGTGTGTAGTTTTGTTAAGGTTTGGGAAAAACTGTGGATAACAGACGTGGGTGGCATGACATTCAAAAGCGCACACGAAAGCGGAATTGCTATGAAAAAATGCCTTATAAAACTTCTGGTACCGAATATTCCACCTAGCCCTGTGGTTAAGCTTGACAAAGCGTCACACCAAAATGTTTTAAATGACAAAGCACCAAATTCTAATTTAAAGATAATGAAAATCCAGAGCCAGGAAAATATACATTATAATTTCTTGTATTAGCACTAAACAATAGTAAAAAAAAACTATGTTTACAGATTTATCGCGTTAATTTTTTACTTTTATTAAAAATTTCTAAACAAACAATTCATAATTATTAACCATGGTGAGAGCAGCGAAACAAGCGTCGCCCGCGAAACGTCCTCATCGACCCGGTCGAGGAAGGGGACTTAGGTACGTCGGACCCACCGTCGGGGGTCCCGCCGGATAACACTACACACACAGTTAGTGTAGCAACAAACACATTGGTCGCCTTCGCCTCCGAGCTCGGCGAGACCAACACAACGCGTACACGAGGTACACCCGCGTTCCAGGGCGGTTCTCACCGCCCCCAGCCACCGATTAACTAAAAACACAGTCGACGGCCATCGGGGTCTCGGTCCGCACCGCTACTTCGATGGCCCTTAGATGACATGCCGTAGTTAAACATACGCATGGGTTCACTTAACATCTCTTCACAACTCGTCACAGAGTTGTTTTTTATTTTTTTATTTTAAATTTGTTCAAATAATTGTACTTGACAGTACCTCTTGTCAGGCACACACAGTCAATGGATCTTTACAAGGTTTACCTGATTCAGCGTTTGTGGGTCCGGGGGGAGAGAGGAGTTTTTGTATTGCGATACCGTTCTCCCTATCCTACGCGGCCGAAACGTGAGCGGTGGAGCCACAAACCAGGTTCGCTTGCTTGGCAGAGAGGCTTACGGTTTACTAGCACAGGCTCTCCAGACTCCCTTGGCCTCTGACAGGGGAACTTTACATTTGACAGGGGAGTTCGTCGGTCGTGCAAAATTTGGAAGACGGACGATTATCTGAGTGGTTGGGCCACAACAGCAGCTGCTACAGAGAAGACTGGTGTGAAGTAGGAATGTTACTACCTTTTGTTTCGTCTGGGGAGTAAGTGATTGGCGGAATGTTGAAAGTGTTTGTTTCACATGATTATTCTGTCTATTTGCGCAAATACTGCACATTTTTATATCCTTGCTCGTTGAAAACTAAAACTTAGATTGCACGAAAACAGAGAGAACTCCTGTCTCATTTTTTTGTTTATAGGTACGTAAAATAAACTTTGTGTTGCGGATGGTTTGAGGCCCCTTTAGTACGCCGCTCAAATAACAAATAGCTTTCAATATACAGCGGGATGGCACATATGTGAACAGAAAACTGCCACAGCAATGGCACACAGCGTATTATTCAAGACTGGTCGCATATTGCCCGTTTTATTAATGCCGGTAAAAGAGTTGAGTTGAGGAGAATACATTGTTGCACTTAGTACGTTCTTAAATAAGGACATCGTACGGAATAGAATTGGAAGTCGGGTAAGACGCGTGTCGTTGAAAGTAATTGTACGATAAAAAAATATTTCTGCAGTCAGTTTTCCAAAACATTTATTATTTACGATGGCATTTTCACGATGACACCTCTTTCTGTATTTATTTAAGACAAAAACCTAGGCTATGTAGGTTTAAGTGCGACTGGTTTCAAACCCTAGATGCTCTTTTTTTATAAAACATTACCCTTACCTTAGGATAACATTATCCTGTGTTTTAAGGGCATTTTACAAACATAAATTTCACGCGAACAAACACCCAGATGCGACAAGTCAATTTCACAATTAGCCTATTAGCAATCTCTCGTTCGAATTATCGTTGTAAAACTACATTCGAAATTGTTTGTATTCTGGAAAGGATATAACAATGAATGCGCTAAGCATTGCTCCAAATGCTAAAAAACACGTTTCTCACTTCTTTTTACAAATTTTAATGTTTACTCTTGAGTGCAGAGATTAGAATTATAAAATGTTCCAGAAATACATTACATATTTGAATGATAGTGTTGCTAAATCTGGCATACTTTTTTAAATTATATTGGTGATTTTTTCAAAAGATCGTATAGGCCATAAGAATCCATTAACATTTTTATTGCTAATATTAAATGAACTTTTCATTGATCTTGTATTAAAAAACTTAAATCAACTTTTCATCATACAGTCATCTTCTCCTAATTGAATGAATAATAAGAAAAGAATCGTAACCATCTTCGGTTATATAGTTACTCATTTCCGACGACATTTGTTACCTACTTAAGACAATTTTTTAAGTTTTATTGCAGTTAAATTTTAACTAATAATGCCCATTTTTCTATTATTAACATAATTCGTAGTCACGAGAGGGACGTGTGAGGAGTTAAAAATGTGAAAACAAACAACTACAGTACTTGTAATATTTTGAGTAAAAACTGCATCCATTGCACTTGGTAACAATTTCGCAGCACCACAATGTTGTTAATATTATTTAATACACGAAGCGTAATAGTAATTATTTCATACCAAAGAACCTATTTATCCAGTAAATCATAAACTGATTAGGGGATCAAAGCGGCTGTCCATCACACTATTCAAGTTGAACATAAAGAGGACACTCGGGAATTTCTGGGAGGGGTCCTGTGCTAGACGGGTGGAATTTAATTTCACCAAAGCCGACGACTCAACGCA